AATTGTGTTCCGTTCCCAGTGCGTTATCCCCAGTTGTTGAATCCTTAACCCTCCCACTCCTGTCCCCTATGAAGAGAACTTCAAGAGAGGACATTTTTGCTCATAGCACGGAGGTTCAAGAGCAGAATGTGTATGACACCTGTCTTCTCTACCTACCCCTCTCAGACCTGGGATGCAGGAACACAAGATTCCTGGCTCCCAGTACCTTCCTTTTCTGCCCTATAGACTCTTCTCCAGAACTGAAGAAGGGCTCTGTAGAGCTGGAAAGCTTATCTCACTAACCGAAGATGGTCCAATAAAAGATACTGTGTCACCTATCTTGTCCAACCCTGGACTCTATGATGGTTATTTCCTGCACAAACCCCATGGAATTATGTGAAACTTTACTAATTGAATTTAGGCTCATGCATACTGGTTCAAACTGGATTCTTCAATGGCCAACGGACAAAGGAGAGACTTTTGGTTAACTAGCCTTAGTTAAAACTGATTCAGAGCCTTCTGTCCAAAAATGGCCCTAGTCCTTCCTGGGAAGGTTTGGAAAGACATGGCCCAACTGGGTGTTTGGTGCAAGCAAAAGGTGTTGTGAGCTTGTAACCATAGAAAAACCCCGTGGTGGCAAGGTGTGAAGGATTGCTAGGCATTCAGAGTCCTTGTTGGAGTAGGGTTTATATCTGGTGAGCTTATTAGCATGCATGTAGGTTTTTAAATTGTTTTTAGTGTTATCTCTATAATGCTTTCCCTTTGAGAATAAATGTGCTTGCTTAGAAAGAGCAGTATGGTAACTTACAACTGTGGCAATGACATTGTTCTCTATTTCTGAGGTTTTGTTAAATATCAAAGGAAGAGGGGGGATTAATAAAACCAGCAACGGAGTTCACAATGCTGAGAAGAAGAGCATCTGAAAACTTACTCCCCAGGGATTCTGGAACTAAGTTGAATTGCCCAGGTCAGGACAACTTTAGCCTTGAAATGACACATGCACTCTTATCACTCGGGGCTTGATCAAAACACTCCTAGATACATTTCAGCAAGAAAACAGTGACAGCGGCAAAGCGGGTTGGAAAATTCTCATGGGATGGAATTGATCAAGCCTCTGACAGGTACCAGGTGGGCTGGCCAGTCCATCTTCTCAGTTGGCTTCCTGCCTCTTGACCTATTGCCCTTTGAATGCCCAGAATCACAGGGCTGCCCTTCTCCCTGAATCTGGGCTACTGCATTCCCCTGGCTTGCAGAGTTCCCATGCAGTGTTTCTGGTTGGCTGCAACTCTTCAGCTGGTGGGCTGACTAGCTTCCTGGGCTTCTGAATCCCCACTACAGGCAGTCCCCGGGTTATGTACAAGATAGGGACTGTAGGTTTGTTCTTAAGTTGAATTTGTATGTAAGTCGGAACTGGTACATATTGTAGGGGAAACTCTAGCCAAACATTTCTCCAGAGCTCAGTTTTATTCTCCCACACCTCACTTCCCTCAGCCCTTTATTCTCAAGCTGAGGTGTCTGCTGAGAAAAGCCGCTCCACCTCTCCCTGGTCTGCTGGGCGGGGGGAGGGGGACGCGCTAGCTTCGCATCTCCCTAGTCTGCTGGGGGGAAGTAGCTAGTGCGGGGGTGCCTCACCCCGGTTGTAAGTAGCTACTGCAGGGTTGCCTCACCCTGTTTGTAAATAGGGATCCGATGTAAGTCGGATCTATGTAACCCGGGGACTGCCTGTACTAGGGTAGATGGATGTCTGGCTCCCCAGCTTATTGGGCAGTCTGGCTTCCTGAACAAGGAGTCAACTGGCTCCCCAAGCTGCCTGGAGAGCTGCAATTGCTGGGCTACCCTGCCTTACATCCGGCTGGGTCCCTGCTCGGCCCAGGCAAGAGGAATGTTTCAGCATTTCCAAAATAACGTATTTCTGAATTCTCAGCCATGCATGTAATGGCACGCTACACGATGATACTGCTCAGCCACTAGATGGTGCTGTGTGTAAGATACCTTCTTTAAACACACCTCAGCCGCAATTTGTAGTGTTCAAGGATCTTATGCTAAGCACGCCTGGTGTGCAAAAAGCTAGTCACGTCTGACACAGGGACATGATGGTGTCAGGAGTACTGGAGCGTCGGTTCGCTTCACGGGCCT